CTTAAGAATTACGATATGAGTGTGCATTAACATCCTGGTAAGGCATATGTAGTAGCAGATGCTCTTAGTAGATTATCTATATGCTAACACTCTCCTAATCACACTTATCACCTCCACACATTCAAAAAAGAAACTCGCTTGTTCTCTCTGCCAATTAACGGGAAGAAACAGAAACTTTGAAAAAAAATTCTTCACACTTGAAGAACTCACTAAAAAGTCTAAGAAAGCAAGTTAATAAAAATCGTTAAGAGAAGGGATATTTCCGTTGAGTTGGTGGTGGAACAATAGGTGAACTGCGCGTGGTTTTTGAGACATGTTTGGGCAGAAACTTCAATCTTGAACAATATCAAAAGGTATGGGTTTCTTCTCTTTTTGTCCCTTTACCAAGAGTTCCCTTACGATTCAAACTATCCACTTTGAAACTAACGTCGTTCCCCTTTGTATGTCCTTGTCCCTAAGTCGTAACCAAATTCGTAGGATGCTTATGTGTGATAGTAGATTTAGGAATGAATTATTTGTTTATATTAAATGTAAATATGTTTATATGAGGGAAATAACGGAGATGATAATCAAAGTGTGATCGGAAAAAAAAGGTGTGTGTGTGTGTGTGCACGTTGGCAGTGTGCTTGGCCACAGTTTTGAGATCGTTTAAGACCTGTACTTCTTGAGTATTTTATGTGTGAAATGTGTATACAATGCGATGCTTATTTTAATGAAATATGGTGGGTTGAACAACAATCTTTTAGCCAAATAAACTTATGAAAGATGTGACTAAAGATGAGCTAAAGAATGACAAATTTTTTCATGATTTGTGCACTCAACAATGAGATAAAATCAGGGTTTGAAAAGGGAAAATAAAATAAGAGAGGTCAATGGGAATTGAAGCCAAGACCAAACATGTTAAAAAGGCTGAAAATGAAGGGGAAAAAACTTGAAGTGGCTAGGGGAAACGAACTCGCGAACTGGGGGAAAAAGGAAGAGAAAAATAAATCAAACAAATAAGTAGGAGATGTAGGGTTAGAACCAGGACCTCTAGGCATCAAGTGAATGTGAAAAAATAAATGAAAAGGGAATGGGAGGCGTGTGAATCAAACCCATGAGCTCAAGGCTGAAAAAGCAGAGGCGAAATTAACTATGAAATAAAGTGAGGTTGTGTGGGTTCAATCCTACAACCTCACAGCCACTCGCCCAATTTAATTAAAATAAATTTAGACAGGCTGTGGGGGTTTTTTACCCACCACCTCACAACCTTAGCAAAATGAAAATTTAAATAAGGAGGCTATGGGGGTTCAAACCCACAACCTCCCTTTACAAGCAAAATTAATACAAAAATACAAGAGGATGTGGGGGTTTTATCCAACAACCTGTTGGTTTAGGCGAGAATGGGCAACATTAGGCTAATGAAAATTAAAAAGGGGTTGTGGGTTTCGAACCCACAACCCTTCGGCCAGCCTAAGAGAAAAATATGTAGACAAATAATCCTTCGATGTTAATGTTTGGATTTAATTTAGAGTTCTAATGTTATGAATATTAGAAATAAAACCAATGAAAAATATAAATGATATCCAAGTAACTCAAACTTGGATTTCCTTCCACAATCTTCCTTATTGATACATAAGTCATACGTGAATAAAATATCCAAGAATAATTCCACCAACATAGATCAAAATCAAGATCGTGGCATATATACAAGATACAGAAGTCTTATTACTACATAATCTTCGGAAAGTAAGAATAACTTAACGAACTATGAGTGAATCCCCATGGATCGTATGTATAGACACATATGTCTAACATATGTTCAAAAGTAAGTGAACCGAAGATGAATGTAATGAAATGATGAACCATAGGAGGGTTAAGTATGAGTGTAAGATACACTAAGTGGGCAAGTGCATTGTCATATAATGAGATGAACTATGAAATGGTGAAATGAACATTCACGTAATAAGAGGTGAGCAACTATGAAAATTAAAGGTTCTAGTGATGAAGAATGAGTTGACAACATGACATGTGGATAATGCAAATGATGAGAGAAGTCTCAAATGAGCCTAAGTAAATGTCACCAATACGTACTCACCAATGAGAGTGTAAAATAATGAAGAGACTAGTCTTTATGAACACTATAAAGAAAGTATTGATATTAACACACCCAATAGTAATGATGATATGAGAAATCAGCAAAAAAGATATGATCTCCTCATACTAGAAGACAACTTCTATGACGTATTAGATAAATGTAATGGAACTTTATGCAAAGCATCGATAGGCTAGCTATGAGCGGTGATTCCTTCTTTCCGGAAGGGTGGAGGTACACGTAACTCTCATGAGATGAGACCCTCAGAGGGTCTCCTTATATCTCCTAGTCTTTGAACCTATAATGCCAATATTAGGATCTATCAACGTTCAATTCTCATGTAAGATAGCATGTTTTAGGTCACTTTGGCCGGTGATTTTACCTCTTTTCGGGTTGGGGAGACATTGAATTTCATGATGCTCGCATGATCTATGTCGGTTAAAGTTAAAGGTACCAATGAATGAATAAGGCCAGCCTAAAATGAAGAACATAACGAAATGAATGATACAAAAGGTGTTACGATAGAATAATAAAGAGGTGAGCTAGACTCAGGTAATGACATTAGGTTATTCCTGACCATTGCACAGCAAACCCGATGAAAGTCTTAAAATACACCCTAGGTATAGCTGGTGTTCACACTGTCCTATTAATGAAATGAAATGAAGTATGTATGGATTAATGAAGAAGACTCTGTGTTTGCTAATGAATACTCCCTAGTAAAGGTCCCATATGTTGAGCCCTCATTTTGTAAAGTCATAATGTCAAGTCAATGATTCAAAGGTCTTATGGCATATGAATGAATGGTATGAAAGAAGTATATGTTATATGTTATGTGCTATGGTATGTACTCTATGAATATGTTATGTGCTGTGTGCAATATGATATTTATGATGATGCACGTTAATCTTATGGAATGACCTTCCTAATCCAATTTGGAAAGTTAACTAACTTTCTTAATCGTGTTTTGTCAAGTCTACTGACTTGACTTCCAAAAATCATGTCGTTAGGAAAGAGCTATTCTTTCTCATGTATGTCCTTTGTGTGTGCTTGAATTTACCCATACTTAGTGCAAGTGTGTACTAACCCCATACATCTACACGATTTTAGATGCAGGCACAGGTGGACGATAGAGCTAAAGGATCATTGTAATAGCTATCCTATCATTAGCATTCATCCAGAGTTTGTTAGGTCCTCAGGCTTTAGAGGATGCTACTGTTTTACATTTTAACTTAGTTCTAGAGTTGAGATAGTGGAGAATGTTCCACTAGAGTTTCTTTCTTGTTTTGATTCAGACATTGTATTGGTGCCATTTTGGCAATTATACAATTAATACTTCTTGAACTATTTCTTTCAATTGGTTATCTCTTAATGTTAGATTGTGGATGATGAACGATTATGAAATATTAAGAATGTTTAGCAAGTTTGTAAAAGAACAAAAAGTTTTTAATTTTCCGCTAATAATTAACCTAGTTGAAGTATGAATAATGCACGTAGGATTTTCTACGACCTCTGAGAGGTTAATGACGTCGATCTTGTCTCGGGCCTACACTTCGGTCATGAAAAAGTTTGTATCAGAGCAATAGGTTAAATTCCGAGGATAATGAGTTCATTTAAACCATATTAAGTAATTTCTAAGTCATGGTAGTAAAGTGCACCACTATTCTGAATTAGAGACTGCATAATGCGAAGGAAAATTTCCCTTCTTCTGATCTTATCGTATTTTTCTTAATGTCAGAGTTCTTGGTGTTATGAGCTTTTTCTAAAATCAGTACTTGTTGTTTTCAGAGAATGAACAGTAGGATTTATATTGGCCAGATGAGAGGGGGAGCAGTTGCTGGGTGCAATCAAGTTCCACCCAGGCTCCAGCTGAAGGAGTGGCTATGTCGGTTAACCCAGCTGGGTTGACTGATGCTGAGGTGAGGGCATCTCTAGCCCAGATTGCACATACCATCACGATGCAACATCAGGCTGTGACTGCCCATTTCAACCGGCAGGATGTTCAGAGGTAGCATGGCTGACAGACTGCGAGATTTCATGAGGATGAATCCTTCTATATTCACAGTGGCTAAGACATCAGAGGATCGTTAAGAGTTTGTAGACGAGGTTCATAAGATCCTGGTGGATATGAGGGGCACTGATATTGAGAAGGTTGAGCTTGCTTCCTACCAGCTCAAGGATGTTGCACAGTCTAGGTGGAAAATATTGCAAGATAGTCGTGTGCCACTGACATGAGAGTTGTTCAAGCCATCATTTCTGGAGAGATTCTTCCATAGAGAGACGAGGGAGGCCAAGGTTGAAGATTTCATCAACCTTAAACAAGCCTCTATGACAGTCAGAGTATTCCCTGAAGTTTGTTAAGTTATCAAGGCATGTTACTTTCCTTAGTATTTAATAGAAAGAACGAGGAGAATACTTGTTTTATTGAAAAAAGAAAAAATATTATTTTCGAAGAGTTTTGGATTTTTTAGAGTTGCCATGAACAAATAAAATCATTTGAAAATATTTAAAAGGGTTCGAGGATTATTGTTAACGTCTTAGGAGGGTTTTGAAAGCACCTAAGACGTTCCTCTTAATTACGGCTTTCCATCAACTAACTTTATGTTTGGCTAAGACTTACAATTATAAAAATACTCTTTAGAGTTGTTTGAAAAAGAAAGCCAAAAAAATCATTTCGGATTGTTTTTGAAATAAAAAAAAATATTCACCTAAGTCAATTTTAATTTTGTAAAATCTTTTAGGCCTTCTACTTGATTGAATTGTTAAAACCAAAGTGGCGTTTTTTGGGGAATTGGATTTTCCTAACCTTTAGAACTGACGACAAATAAAACAAATAAGTAATAAGAAAGCAAATAAAGAGAGATAGGGTAGAGAGATTTGGGTCCAAATTCGGAATCTGTTCGCCTTGACCGGTATTTGGACGTACATATTTTGGGTTTTTGACCCGTTTCTTTTGGGTTTTTGACCAATTTTATCATCTTGAGTACCCGTCCTAGACTAAACATATAATAATAAATGATAAGTATGAAAAATAAAGAACAACAGGGATTAGTCCCAAAGATCATAAAGATACAAGCTTGCACTAGAAAAACTAATTTTGGCCGCTTTAATCCATAATCTTTAACTTCTCAATCTTTACGTCTATTTTTATTGGCTGACTTGATAGGATAATTTTGAGCTTTTAAGGATCTTTGTACATGTTGGAAGGAGACAGTTCATGGCGAAATCAGATGAATTTTACACCTGCAATAAAATTAAAATAAATTATTACACTAAATGATAAAGCCAATAAGACATGATTTAAAACGAAGAAACAGATCAATTCAACTATCAAAAAAAAAGAAAAGTATAACGAAATCAAGAAAAAAAAAGGTAATGAACCCAACTATTGAATATAAAATCAAAAAGCGACTAAATAAAATAACAACAAGCAAAATATATGACTAAATAGTTAATGAGAGCTAGGTTTACTTAGTAAGTGAGAAGAACTGACGAGATAGTACTAGAATGCTATTAAGAAATGTATACACACTTGTAAATAAAACTATAATTGAGAATAAATAATAGAGGGTATTATTATGTCAAGGTAAGATGAAGCAATAGGATCGATCAAACAATTTTTTTAAAGTTGCAAATTAAGTAATCACTCACATTTACAATAGCCGATTAACTCTTTTGGGAAAAACAGATTTATATCCTTTAACTAAGGAAATAAAAAACTAACAATGCAAGCCATAAATTGTAGATATGAATGATATGGAAAGATATATGGGTGAAAGAAGTGAGACAATTTTGACAAATAATCCAAAACTAACAAAGAAGTAAATAATTAAAGATGACTAAATAATGTTGAAAAATCATTTCAAAATCATGCCAAGTGAAAATTCTATCCAAAGAAATAAACCCTCAAAAGTGAGAATTGATCAAGGAAGTAACTTACTGTTCTAGATACATGTAGATCAAATAAGCCTCCAATTAACCAAATTTGAACTTTCCAAGGAAATACGAAAATTAAAAACAAAGAAGGCAACACTCAAATAAAATATACCACTAATTAAAGAGACAAAATATAATACATGAACTAAGGTTTGTCAAGGTTTGGATTGATATCGTTAAATCTAAATTGTAATACACAAGGGTAAATAAAACAAAAAAAAAACTTTAAGAAGGGAGGGGTAGGAAAAAGCAAATTAAAAGTAAAATAAATCATCACAGTCCAACCAATTTCTTCCTTAATATAAATCTCCGAAAACAATAAGGATATGACTAAACGATGCTTTATCACTAAGAGAGAAATAAAAAAATGAATAAAAAGGAACAGCAGCAAAACATGTACAAATGGCAAAAACTACACTCTTAAAACATGAGGGAAATAAAGAAACAACATTTTAAAAATATACTAAGGTTTTAAAAAATTTTAATAAATGAAATAGAAGGATTTCGACTTTTTTCACCACTTAAAGTAAAAGGAAATAAGGAAGTAATAGGCAGTAGCTGAGTCGTAGCAAAACAGAATCGGATTCGAATGCAGCAATATCACGAACTCATCTATCCTTAGAGAACAAAGAAATAGATTGACAATGATATTTATATAATCTAATAACAATGATAATCATATGCGCTATATCTCGAAGTTCGATGCCACAATACATTAGTACTACTGTTGTTAAGAAAAAAAATACAGAAGAATCAAGATACCATCTGATGCAACAACATATACCTGAAGAAAACTTAGCCATAATAGATATTAGAGGGGAACGAGTTGTCAAACAATGGAATTCACGGGACCAGAATACAACATTTCAGCCTTTTAGAAGCAACCACGAGACATCAATCGGGTGAAGAAATCTATAGAACTGACATTGAATCAAGCAAACGAGATTTAAATATAATTAATACCAGAATCATGCAACAATAAGATGCTTGAACACAATGAACCTTAAGGACCTTAATATAAAACTCATGTAATCTACACACTAAAAAAAGAACACTCAATGAAAACCCACAACAAAAGCCTACAATGAATCCAAAGCGCTTAACAAAACCGAGCAAAGAACAACTTAAAGGCGTTTTTGAAAGAGAACACTTGTATTCAAAATACATTGAGATTAGGAGGAGGTTTCACCTTGTCGAGGGCAGCGAACTAAAGTAGTTACGAGTAGGAGACGGGTAGCAGTGAACTCCACCACACTAACACCAACAAGGAACACAGACTCGTGCAGAATGTTGATCTAAAATTGGATTCGAGAAGAAACTTGGTAGCAAAACAAAACAGAGGAAAAAAAACTAGGTAATAAATTACTATCCTATGTAAGCTTGAACTTAAAATCTTTCTATCATTCTATCTAAGAATTCTCAAAAATCTTTCTTTTCTTTTGTCTTAGTTTAAGTATCTTCACACTCAAAAACTCTCTACGTATTTCCTTGGCTTAAAGAAAGCCTCTAGCCTCAAGAAAATCTCTCCAAAAGAAAAAAAACCCCTCTCAAAAGCGAAAAACGATCATATATATGAATGAACTATGGTTTTAAAATTAAAGGAAAAAGGGCTCCCAAAAATCGAATGAAGGCCCATCCAATTTTTAAAAGCCTAAATTCTTAACCCTAATGAATATCCCCAAATGATCCTCACAAAATGAACGGATAGAAATTGCGTGTAGGGTTCGGATTGAATGTGCGCCCTTGTTGGGTTACGTGGCCTCATTTCTGAGTGCTCAAGGACGATGGCTTTAGGATACCCTGCCCTGTCGTACAAACAAGAGCAGAAAAGGACGTTAGAGCAGGCAGCTTATGCTTTGATTGACGGGGAACGACGAACACGCGTTGCTTCGGGGTCGATTTTTCATTCTTTGGAACTTCACGCCACCGATTAGGAGGTCCTTTACGCGTTCTCCTTTGACGAGGTAGAAAGATGAAGATGGAAGACTTGGAAAATGATTTGGGTTAAAAAAAATGACGGGTTGGTTCGGGTCAAAAGGATTAGATAGGACTGGAATAGATTCCGCAAAGGGTTGTTTGGAATTGGGTTGGAATATTGGGATGAAAATATATAAAAAGAAAAGAGGTCCCAATTATTTTTTAAAAAAAAATCAAAAGGCTGGATTTTGAATTAATTTCTTCGCCAAGAAAACTAAACTTTAAAATTCAACCAAGTGTAGTTAATTAGTAAATCAATATTGATTATTCAACGAGCTTCATAATTTGACGAGATAAGCTAAAATATCTTAAACACGACTCAATGATGCCTATATATATATATATATATGTATGTATGTATGTTGCTAAAAGCTACAAAAACTTGAAAATAAATTGACTTTTATAAAGTCAATTATATCAAATAGTTGGGATTTTAAGAAACTCGAAGATTAATTCATATTGAGGCGGGTCAAAATCGAGTGTTAACAACTGTCCCTCATTTTACTTGGATTGATGTAATAAATTCATGTAAAATAAAATTTACCAATCCAATTTTTACCGACCACTCGTTCATCTCTCCGACAAAAAATTTGTGCAGCCATAGAAATTATAGCCGAGCCCTGAAATGGGTTTCCTACATATCTCAATATATATAGGAATTTAGGCCACTTGTAGTTCGATATACTTGATTTCACGCACGATATTGAAAGAGTTCAAAATACACTCTCTATACCAAATTATGAAGGGACCGAACTGTGCTGCATCCTTTCTGGTGTCATCCACACCGTGTTGACAATTAATCATTCTCCTCGACATTTGACGTCAACTCAATTGGTTTGACGTAAAGAAAATAAATCTTATGTCTTGTATTTGCAATATAATGTTCAATGCACTCTTCATTGGATGTCAAAATAAATAAAAATGATGCATTTATGATATTTTCTTCGTTGCCCTCTATGATTCTCTCAGCATTCACTCTTGCCAAATGAAGATGCAGTAGATGTTGAGGGGTATATATTTCCTTGATATGCACGATTCCTTCTTTGGCAATGCATTATTTCTTTCGAGGCATGAATATCTTCCCACGATGCGTGATTTCCTGTGGGGTATGAATATCTTCACGCTATGCATAAATTTTTGCGAGTTATGACTATTCTCTCGCAATACATAATTTCTCCGAGGTATAAAATCTTGTCACGATGCATAAATTTCTGCGAAATATGAAATCTTCTTGCGATCCTGATACGCTCCAACTTACTTCTCAATTAAGAAGTAAAGCGGTCTTGTCAACTAAATAACCTAATTAATAAGGTTGGGATCGTTCCCACGAGAAAAATAGTTTAGACCTAACTTCAATCTATTATTACTATTGTTCAGTCAATTACTTCCTTGGAAAGCAAAAATGATAAAAGGGGTTTTTCTATTTTTAAATAAATGAAAATAACTACAGAAATTAAAGGAGACAACTAACAGCTTCGAATGTTGGAGTTTGATAAATTAATAAAAGTAACTAGGGTTTACGTGTTCGCCACAGGTTCATAACTTGATAATTCAAACTATAACAATTCTTTCCTAGTATCTTGCATGCAAAATGATAAGTTATGTATTTCTAAGTCCTTGGTCTGATATCTAGAAAATTTCACTACGCACCTTGGTCCGGCTACATGTGTTGCTATACTAACCCTTATCTTTACCTCATATTGAGCATCGTATTTGATATATGACTAAGTTATTACCGCATACCAATCAATACTAGCATATTAGATAGTATACTCTAAATCTATGTTGATAATTCTTTTCCAATTATCTACCTCTTTTGTAAGGCAAGTAGCATTAAGGAGAGTTCTAATGTTGGCCATCCGTTAAAAACACTTCTAAGCGAAACAATTATCAATACATGCAAGACACTATTCTAGAATTGTTAATTTAGTTAGGTTTTACATCATTATTCGCCTATGATTTCCACAGCCCTAGTTATGGAGTTTAGTTACCCATAGTCATAATCACAATATTCTAATATATGGTATAAGAATTCATGTACTTACTTCAATGATAAAGAGTAAAATCCGAAAGTTCGCTTGATTAATCAACAAAAATCACCAACAATCAATTACAAGAGCCTCAAAATATTCACGATTCTCATAAAGGGTCTAAAAAATAATCAAGAGTCTAACCAAATAATAAAGAGTCTAACAATAATCCAGGTTCTAACATCAAAAACGAGGTTTTTAGAACTATTTATAAAAAATACAAACCTAATTAAATAAGGACTCTATTTGCTAGAAATCTGTCAAAACGCAGCTGGGTCGACGGACCGTCACGGACTCTGTCGTCCCATACTTGTGCAATTTCGTCTGCTTCTCTCTTCATTACCCTCGATGGCAGGTATGACGGATCATCATACGCATAACGGTCCGTAGAGGGTCAGTGTTCCAAAATACATGAACTCTTGGAATTTGGGTACTGGGACTACTTCTTTGAACCTCATGACAAACCATAAGGACGAACCGTCATAGCTACGACAGTCTGTCACGCACTCTGTAACCTCACACTTGGTTAGACTTCCCCATCTTCCTTCTGCAGCTGCACTACGATGCCACCTACGGACCGTCACGGGCACGACGAACCATCACAAGCTCCGTAGGTGGTACTTTTCTGAATATCTCACTCAAAAACCTCTGCATTCATCTTTTTGACTCAATTCCCACAAATAAAGAGAAACATACATAAAAATTAGCATAAAAGGGCTTTTGGACACACTAAACTTAAGGAAAAAGTATTAATAATACGGTGAAACCACTGTAAATCAACACCCTCAACTTAAATTCGTTGTTTGTCCTCAAGCGACATACTATGACTCAATATAGAATCTTTGTACAATAGTGTCGATGTTTTATCCTTTACAATCATTTGGCTATCAATACCGATTATTCACATCATATTTATGCATGATATCACCATTCTCCACTCTAAGCGCTCTTCTACCTCGGCAATAGACCTCTGCATCCAAGGCTTGATATGATGAAGAAGAGTAGCCATTTTTGCCTCTAATTTCTGGACCCTAGAAAGCGGGACAAGAGCGGGTAAAGGGGATGAGCGGGAGGAGCTCGGGGAAGTGTTACTACCCGAGATAGACTCGACCGGGGTAGTGGCAGTTGAAGCCGCCAGCCTAGCCGTCCAGGCCTGTGCTACCATATCAACCCGATTATCACAAAGTGGAGGCAACTCGGGACGGGGCCCTCTGCGTGGAGCCAACTCATTAGCCTTATCCTTGATGAGGCCGATATCAACAGTTCCCAGCGGGGTCTTGAGCTGATCAACGTGCCATATAGGCACACGTGCGGCCATTCATAGAAAAATATCATGCACGGGAAAAGGTTAGTAGTTGTGACCTTAAAAGCCCTCTCGTGCATGACCACCTGTACAAGAGAAGCAAAATCCACCTCAAACCCGGCTATTATCACCTCCATCACTAATGCTCGATACCATGTAACTATATTATCAGAGGCTGTGGGGAAAAGGCAGTCGTGGACAATCAACCACAAAAAATTCGTCATGAAGGTCAGGTAAGCCTTATTGATGGCTCCCTTCGACTCAGTCACCCAGTTAGCACCCTCTCCATCAATAGACAAGTGAAGGGCCATCCACCTTTTGGTGGTATCTCTCAGCGATGGCTCATGCACGAATTGACCATCTTTGACAATATACCATCGGTAGTCAAACTCGGCAGTGAGAGGGGTCCGGTTATCATCAACATGCTCGCCGAAGAGATATCCGCGAAATAAAGGCAGGGAGATATCAACCTGAATGCCACTTTCTTGGACCTGCTCTAGTGGGGACTCTTTGGCGGGGGCAGCCCGTCTATCAAATTGTGATCGGTGAGTCCCTACGTAGGAGGCGTAGAACTCTCGTACCAACTCTTCACTATAATGTCCCAACTGACGCGCTGTTTATTCAAGTCGATGTCTGGTGAAGAGATAGTGGATCTCTAGCATATTCGGGAGACTTCCCGTAAGGACCTGCCGCTCCAATGTAAGTGTCCGAGTCATGACTCCTTTTTCATTCAAGAACTTTGCATCGGAATAGACTTGATATTGCCCGTCGACACACCAATGATTGGGCTGGTTGGTAACCGGGGTGAGAGCACGAGTCGGTGACCTGGGTGTGGTTATGAACTGTCAGCCTCATCAGACGAGGCAGACTCTGCAGCGGTGGTGGGTGCGGGAACCTTAGCACATCAAGAGGGTTCCTCCGACCATGTAACTCCTAAGCAGACAGACGCTCCTTCTTAATTAGTAGCTGACCTACAAGGTGTGCCGGTAAGTGTGCGGTCCTCATCAGAATAGGAGGTAGTGACAATGCCGGACGCCACCTTTTTTGGTGTGGCTCTGGAAGCACGTGCAACTCGGGATGGGGTCGAAGTGCCTGGGGCCACATACTCGGGTAACTCTCATCATCAAAGCCAATGACTAGGCGGGCAGACGGGGCGACATACTTAAAATTCCCGCATGCGTAGACTCGATCTTGTTTCTGTGCCATAGTAGATAGATCCTGTAAAGAATCAATATAAGTACTAAAAGGAGAAGACAAGACTAGCATAACCACACAAAATAAATAAAAGAGTTAAGATGTAATGACATTTCTATAGTAATATTGAAACACGACGGGTCAAGTGACGGCTCGTCGTTAGTATGACGGACCGCCATGAGGTCCGTCGTGTCTTCTTAGACTTTAATTATATGGAGAACACTTAAAGAGAGTCTCTGACAAGTATGACAGTATAAGCAGGATGGACAGTCACAGGTACGATAGTCCATCATAGATGTCCGTCAGAGGACACTTAAAAAACTATGGAGACCCTTAGGAGATGGGTCTCTGACCGTCATATTGGATATGAAGGATAGATATTCGTGGGTATAACTGTCCATTGTAGTTGTCCGTTGGAGGACACATAGAAAAAATAGAGAGATCCTTAAGAACAAGGTCTCTGACAACAAGAATGGTTATGCAGGACGGATCGTCGTAGGAATGACGGTCAGTTGCATTTGTCCATTGGAGGACACTTAGAAAAATTGAGAGACCCTTA